TTATAGATTTCCAAAGGATGGAAGTGAAAAGCAACGGAAAAAAACAAAATTAACAACAAAAAAAGTTTTTTTTTTAAAATTTAACACACTTTTTTTTTTTTCAATTTATTAAATATTGTAAGATCGACTTTGCTCCGATGCTTTACGCTGTTCAGCGCACACACTCGGTTTTACGTTGCGCACAACATTTTCACGCAGTTAATTTATCAGGAGTAGATAATAGGAAGGAGTGTACATCAATAAACAAGGGAAATTTTACTAGCCTTACAATACCTACGATTTACTACACGTTAACTCATCCAACTTGAGCTCCAATCGGACACAGTACATTGCGCCATCATCGTACGAAATCGTTTCTCGTAGGACACCCGCAATCCGTAGATACAAGAACCTAAAACGTACGACACGATTCTCCATTCTCTGGCATCAATCCAACCATTGCGCGCCTATAATTCCAACAAAGCAGCTACCTAACGCGCTTTGCCTAACTGAGCGAGGCATGGGCTCGCTGGAGATTAGGCATCAACACTCGGCGAGATAACCTTTGACCGCTACACAGCTACACAGGCCACCTTTGTAACATTGCTGGCATGCCTTCATGCACGGCACGCCAACAATATGATTAGCTCATCGAGTGTTGGTCGATCTCCAATCTCCCTGCGAGGCACAACGCCACATGTCAGCTATCGATCGGGAGCAAACACAGCCAGGTTGCTGCCTTTTGTCTGAATTATAGCGCGCGCAATGGGCGTTGGATTAATGGCCAGAGAATGGAGAATCGTGTCGTACGTTTTAGGCTGTATCTACGGATTGGCGGTGTCTACGAGGAAACGATTTCGTACGATGATGGCGAATGTATGTGTCCTGATTTGAGCTCAAGTTGGATGAGTTACGCGTAGTAAATCGTTAAGGTATTATAAGGCAGTAATGACGAATTTCCCTTGTTTATTGATGTCACACTCCTCCCTATTATCTACTCCTGATGTTATGGAGCCAGTGGCTTGTGTAGAACCAGCCGTACGTTGTTCTTGCCAACGTGACGTCACACTTCGGTACTCTATAGGGTTTGTCTATATTCAGGCGGTTACAGGAGATAATTTGCATATTTTATCACGTGATTTGTGTTATTACCAAATCAGAGTTAATCGCCGTGTTCGTGACGTCACTTCCAGTCTGTGAAGAAGATGGTGAAAGGAGGAGAGGGGAGAAGCGGAGAAGGTGGTGGAGAAAGGAGGAGGGGGAGAAGTGGTGAAGAAGAGGGAAGGGAGAAGGAGAAGGTGTTGAGAAAGAGGAGGGTAGAAGCTGGTGGAGAAGGAGGAGGGGAGAAGCGAGAAGGAGAAGGGAAGGGAACTCATAATACTCATATCACTCATATCACATCATATCACTCATAACACACATATCACTCAGAACTCATATCACTCATAATACTGTGGTGGGGCGAACTTGATCCTGCTGCCAGTGCCAGTGTACAGAAACACAACATACATTGTCAATGACTGATGTAAATTACATCAGTACTAATTCAGTATTAGTTGTATTACTAGTAATGCATTAGTAATACAGTATTTGTAGTATTAATTGTATTGTAATACAATCTGAACAGTACAGACTACTACAGTACCCTACTCAGCAGCAGTGTCTGTATTCAGCACTGTATTACTAATTCATGAGTAATGGCAATGCACTCCTTCTTTACTCCGTGTACGGTGTAGTTAGCTGGCTAATGCCGGGTTGTGATAGGCCTAGCCTAATGCAAGGAGCTAAATATAACATGTTTTTAGCTCCTTGGCCTAATGCACATATGCACATAGCACATATATATGCACAAATCAAGCACAAATGTGTACTGTGTAGTACTCCTTCTTTAGTAATACTAATAGTTTGATAGCCACCTAAATTAATACAAATTACAATAATATATAATATATACATGTATGACAACTGGTGTTAATAATGTTGCCTTATACGCAGTGGCTAGAGGTACGGTAGCCGTCGGTCGTTGAAGCCCCTTTTTGGGGTTAGGTTTAGGGTTAGGGTTAGTATTAGGGTTAGGGTTAGGGTTAGGGTTAGGGTTAGGGTTAGGGTTAGGGTTAGGGTTAGGTTTAGGGTTATGGTTAGGGTTAGGTTTAGGGTTAGAGTTCTAGCTCATCTAAACTTTCAAATCGTGAATTTATTTCCCAAGGCGTTATTTCGAAATCTGGCGCCACCGCCGTCATCTTTGTCTCGTTAAGCGAATGGACTCCCGTACCCGTAGCCTCGAGACATTAAGATACGGCTACCGTAACCGTAGCCACTGCCTATATGATAACACAAGTTAAGTATGAGTCATTAGGTGGCTCTCAAACTATTACTAAAGTCGTAAAGAAGGAGTACTACTACTAGCAGGAGTAAGATAATATAGGATCCTATATTATCTTACTCCTGGTACTACTAGTACTACTAGTACTACAGTAATAAACTTTCGTTTTACCCGCTGCCATGACCAGTGTCGCAAAAATACCACGTCCCGGCACTTACTTATTATCATAGATATCATATAACAACATGCTTATTATTATTTGATCAATAAAGTTATTAAAGCTTTATAATATTTTATTTTAAAATATTAAATAATTAATAGTAAATACAAACCTGTTGTATTTTGTTTTGTGGACAATTATTTTGTTTTAATTTACTTCCAGTATGATGCAAGATTATTAACGACACGTTTTTGCTGCGAATGGCGCCCCCCATTGAAACAAGGTACAGGCGGCTGAAAGTATTTGGCGTTTAATTTTGTCGTTTTCTGAATCTTCTACGCCTATGCTACCCTTACTATGAACATATTTTAATCGACGAGTACGCCGTATATCTGTTTCATAATGTATTTGTAGTAAATATAGCGTAACATGGCTATTGGAGTTAATAGAAGTGCAACCGCCACAGGCCCAGGTTCAGGCTCAGGTCCCGGCCGGCCAAACAGATTGGCACTTCAGATACCCCAGACACCACCCGGTTTTGGAGGAACAAACGATCCAAGTCCGTGGCAGTGGGTGTTCCAGAGTGCAGCCCTTGCTTTCCAGCTGTGTATTCCTTTTTTGGCACCAATAGCAATTGGTAAGTTTAATGTTGAGCAGTATCCCAAACCCTGCTGGGGCCAAGTAATATTATTATTAAATTAATACTTCGGTTCAAGGATAGATAACATATGGGTCCCAATAAAACCAATGTCATTTACATCAATATAAATATAATATTATATCAATATAATAGGTTAGGGTTAGAATTAGGGTTAGAATAAGGGTTAGGTTTAGGCACATCGGTTTTATTGGTACCCATGTTCTCAATCCTTGGGCCAATATTTCTACTTCTATACTGGACAGTCCGTAAGTATGACTCGCTCAAACCACAAGAAATTCAACACTTCCATGCCCTAATTTACCTATGATTTATTACATGAAACCCAATAAAAACTAGAAGGAAGGCACTCGGGGGAGTGCGAATCACCACACACACACATACAAACGAGCCAAAAACAATACCTTCCGCTACACTTCGTGCGGTGGATAATGATGTCAGAACTAGCATTGTACATCCATCTTGCCCTCACACTTTACTTTGTATCGATACCTCTTATTATGTAGTTATAGCTTCGAACATCAGACATGGTTTTAGTCATTTTCATCGTCAAGTTGCAAACGTTTACGGCTGATGAAAGCAAACATTAGGCAGCTTGCGCTATGACACCTGTTGGCAGGGTTCGGCAGGGTAGCGATAGTACCATGGTACCGTAGTAGGTCATTGTACGGCATAGTAGGTCATTTTTAGTACGATTAGTACGATGGTACCAATTTTAGCTGCACTTGTACCGTTGAATGCATTTAAAGGGAGAGTTTACTCTAGGTTCTAGGGTTATTTTCAGCTAATTTAGGTTATAATTATGCTACATAAAAAGTTTCATGGTTCAATCACCATTAGAAATATTTAAAAAAAATGTTTTAAAACTAACGACTACAGTTTGATTACAATGACGGTGGCGCCACTCAAAGCGCACGATCTGATAAGTTGCGCAAAACCACTTTCCAGCCAAGGGCTACAGACCGAGGGTGTTTCTTATTTATTTATTTAAAAGCAAAATGATTGTAATATCTTATAAACGACATATATAGTTTCAGTTATAATATGGATAAATTTGCCCTAAAATGAATATCGTTCAGTTAAATAGCATTTAGGTATAAATATAATTGCACTTTTGTGATTAGCCCTCGGTCGCATAATAAATTGTCAAATACGCAACTTTTTCGGGGTGGCAGCACGGTCGCGGGTGTCATGTCGCCGTTCAAATTTCGTAGCGTTGATGTGTAATTAATTGTAACAATTAAATTAGGTATCTGGTAACAAATACGTGTGGGTATAGCAGGGTCTCCAACCATTCTGCATTCTGCGGAATTATTACGATTTCTAGGCTTAATTTCCGCACTCCGCAGCGGCAAGGTTATATTCCTCATTTCAGTTGCACTGTATCTTCGGCGCGCGAATGCGTATAGCGGGGAGCTATAGCTATACATCCGGCGGTCGCGTGCGCCCAGTCCCGCGGAAGTGCGCGGCTTAACCGCTTTCGGCGGTCGGGGAACAACGCATCTTTTGCGCAAGGCCATCTTGTATCCGGTCTCTCTGGATGGTCAAAATTCACATAAATATTACTCTTCAGTACATATATTGGTCAAAATTACACTTCTAGTAATTTCAAGTGATGAAAACAATAAGGCAGTGCTGAAACAACCTAAAAGGAAAGAATGACATTCGTCTGTGACACAGTTAAATGACAACACTGTGGAAAAATTCAGCTTAAAATGTCCAAGTGATACTGCTCATCTTGTTTCTTCCTGAAATTTCAGTAGTAAGCATTCCATTCCGACTCTTTCTCTCTATTTTCATCTGGACATCTTTTTGGATTTCCCCCCTTAATTAAATTATGATACTACTATTATATATCATCCCAAAACCTTTTTTCATACCTGCAGTGCATTAACTTGTTCTCGCCTGCTTACATATGAACATAAGTAGTTGCTTAGTTCAAACAGGAATTGCTGAACATTCTTTTCTCTGTATAGGTATCGCTCCAGTAATACTTGCAGTGGCACAAATGGTGGCAATGTATGATGGCAAACTCTTAGCTCACTTGAAAGCTTTTTAAAAAGATGCGAAAATATGCATTAATTTGGTGTGATAGAAATCCATGCATACTCAAGTCCGATTGTCACATACTACATATGCTATTTACACAAATTTGTGATGTGCTCATGCTTTATTGGTTCAATTCACTAACTGATAAAGTATCTAAACACTCTAATTTCCACACTTTACTGACATCACGTGAAATTATTCAATGAATGTTAAGTAATTCCGTACCTCCAAGTAGTATGGTTCATAATATTTGTTCTGGAATGCAGTATTAAACGTCAACATGGTGTTTCTATTGGAAAGTTCCTCGGTTTTCACACCTAAAAAGTACATTACACACGACATGGAATGTGCCCACGTATATGTAAGCAATATAAAATTAAAATGTCAAATGTATTTTTATTTAATTAAATAATGGAATTATAACATTTTTCTGATTCAGACCAAGATTTTATATAATAGTTATTTTCAATACTTACCAGCCAATTCATAGACGAAAATAGCGGTTTTATTTTTTTTACATGAGTATTCATCGGAGTTACTATCCTCAGAACCGGAACACTCATCGTTACAATTTTCCGGTGCTCTCTGAAATTTAAAAAATCTATATTACACAAGATATTCTAGGCAACCACTAACTTGCCCTCAAACAATACAAAAACTAAAATTGCAAAGTGCACACGAACTTTATATTGATGAAATAATTCACATTTAATTGAAAACAGTTTAACATCTAACTTGGAATGATGTGAATAAACAAACAAATTCAAAAATCCTTCCAATGAAATTTTGTCATGGCTGTCAGAAGTTGCATTGCAATTTTCAACAGCAGTAACAACAGTCATTCTAGTTTTAACATATGCCTAATAGTAGAACATATACCACATACCCTTTTCTTCAATAATTTCAACTTGTGTAACAGTACACTTTTCTGCTGAGCAAGACTGTCTACCTTCTGCTGCCAGACACCTAACTGCAAGTGCACATCCTCAAGCCTTTGTAGGTCTTGAAAGGTTTGGCTAGGTTTACCTAATCATGAAAACAATAACCATATATAGAGTATATACAGATATTAGTAGGTATATGTATATATATCTATACAAGTTCAAATTTATAGGGCGGGTAGGATATTGATATTTAAACCAGCGAAGCATCTACATCGCTCATCTATACTTTAATTGAGCCTTGGAACATTTTACTACTATAAATTAGAGTATTTATAATAGTTTCAAAGGCAGAGGTAATAAAATTGCTAAAAAGTTTAAAAAAAGAGTGACTATCGCCAATTTATAAATGTCGTTATTTAATGTGAAAGCTTTCACAATATGAATTTGCTTGCAATGATCATGTAAGTTGATAAACTACAGAAAATTGACACAGTGACAAAGTTACAATTTGACAATCAGAGAGACTTATGTTGTGTTCTACAACCTGAATTACCTGTGAATTGAACCTGAATGAACCTTCTATTGTCTGTGTGTGTGTGTGTGTGCATGCGTGCGTGCATGCGTGCGTGCATGCGTACGTGTGTGTGTCGACCGATCCGTGTGTGTTTGTGTATATACATGCATATATACTAGCGGGAAATCAGTGGCGTTACTCAGTTGGTGACCGCTTGGTTGAAAGGAAAATACCCAAAAAAATCTAACTATCTATCTATCCATGCATCCATGCATCCATCCCATTACATACCATGCCATGCCATCCCATCCCATATCCGATCCCATCCCATCTCATCGCATCCCATGCCATCCCATCTCATCACATCGCATCGCATCCCATCCCATCCCATCGCATGCCATGCCATGCCATCCCATGCCATGCCATCTCATGCCATCCCAACAGTAAAAAAAATAAAATCAAAAGATAAAAGACATTAAAAATAAAAAATAATTAATTAATTTAAAAAATATTTAATTAAATAAATAAATTAAAAATTAATTAAAAATTAAAAATACATACTAAAGATATAGGTAAAGGGAAAAAAGGAAAAGGGAAAATAAGTTCCCAGCTGAGAACTCGAACCCGAATCCCGGTGTAGGAGACGGATGATCTAGCGATTACCCACTGCACCGTTTAAGCAGGGCTCGAATTAACCGACGGCACCGACGGCAATTGCCGTACTGCCCCTAAAATCCAACCCGACGACGGCAGTCACCTGCCTTGCCCTTTTGTGTAATTTGCCGATCGTGCCCTTTAATCTTACTGCCCTAGTTTTGTTTTAGTCGAACAACATAACACGTGCGCGTGCGTGCTGTAGTTGCAATGAATGACTAAAAACCGATAGTCGCAGGAGGAATAATAACAGCATCGGATAATTATTTGCTCCTGATAGCGGCGCAGGTAAAATTTCTTGTTACTGTACTTCCATTAGAGAGGTGGGTACAGGGTGTCAGTGTTACGGTGTAAGCTTACATGGGGGCATATTTTTTGTACATTAAAAGCAAGACGATGTGATGTACTAATTTGTTATGAGTTTCCCCATTTTATTTACAAAAGTGCTTTGGTGCCCTTCTAAAATTTTTGAGAGTGCCTTGGTGGCTTTTCTATTTTAGAGAAAATTCAAGGCGATTTCTCACATGCCCTAGAAAAAGATGCCTTGCCCTTCTCGTCGCTAATTCGAGCCCTGCCGTTAAGGTATAGAGTACCGAACGTGATGAGCGTCACGGTGCATGACAACGAACCTACTGGTTCTACACAATCCATATGCTCTGTAACATTAACTGCGTCCTGTTTTGTACCCGATTGTAACCATCATTCTGAGAGTCATATGCAGTTTTTATAGATTTCCAAAGGATGGAAGTGAAAAGCAACGAAAAAAACAAAATTAACAACAAAAAAAGTTTTTTTTTTAAAATTTAACAACATTTTTTTTTTTTCAATTTATTAAATATTGTAAGATCGACTTTGCTACCGATGCTTTACCGCTGTCCAGCGCACACACTCGTGTTTACGTTGCGCACAACATTTTCACGCAGTTAATTTATCAGGAGTAGATAATAGGAAGGAGTGTACACAATAAACAAGGGAAATTTTACTAGCCTTACAATTACCTACGATTTACTACACGTTAACTCATCCAACTTGAGCTCAATCGGACACAATTACATTCGCCATCATCGTACGAAATGTTCCTCGTAGACACCCGCAATCCGTAGATACAAAGCCTAAAACGTACGACACTATTCTCCATTCTCTGGCCATCATCCAACCATGCGCGCCTATAATTCCAACAAAAGCAGCTACCTAACGCCTATGCCTAACTGAGCGAGGCATGGGCTCGCTGGAGATTAGGCATCAACACTCGCGAGATAACCTTTGACCCGTACACAGCTACACAGGCCACCTTGTAACATTAGCTGGCATGCCTTCATGCACGCACGCCAACAAATGATTAGCTCATCGAGTGTTGCGTCGATCTCCAATCTCCCTGCGAGCCCACAACGCCACATGTCAGCTATCGTGAGAGAGCAAACACAGCCAGGTTGCTGCCTTTTGTCTGAATTATAGGCGCGCAATGGCGTTGATTAATGGCCAGAGAATGGAGAATCGTGTCGTACGTTTTAGGCTGTATCTACGGATTGCGGTGTCTACGAGGAAACGATTTCGTACGATGATGGCGAATGTACTTTGTGTCCGATTTGAGCTCAAGTTGGATGAGTTACGCGTAGTAAATCGTAGTATTATAAGGCTAGATAAATGACGAATTTCTGTTTATTGATTCACACTCCTCCCTATTATCTACTCCTGATGTTATGAGCCAGTGGCTTGTGTAAACCAGCCCGTACTTTTCTTGCCAACGTGACTCACATCTTCGTACTCTATAGGGTTTGTCTATATTCAGGCGGTACAGAGATAAATTCGCATATTTTATCACGTGTTTGTGTTATACCAATCAGAGTTAATCGCGTGTTCGTGACGTCACTTCCAGCTGTGAAGAAGATGGTGAAGGAGGAGGAAGGGGAGAAGGAGAAGGTGTGGAGAAGGAGGAGGGGAGAAGCGGGAGAAGGAGGAAGGGGAAGGGAGAAGGTGTTGAGAAAGAGGAGGGTAGAAGCTGGTGGAGAAGGAGAGGGGAGAAGAGAGAAGGAGAAGGGAATGGGAACTCATAATACCATATCACTCATATCACATCATATCACTCATAACACACATATCACTCAGAACTCATATCACTCATAATACTGTGGTGGCGAACTTGATCCTGCTGCCAGGTGCCAGTGTACAGAAACACAAACATACATTGTCAAGACTGATGTAAATTACATCAAGTACTAATTCAGTATTAGTTGTATTACTAGTAATGCATTAGTAATACGATGTATTTGTAGTATAATGTATTGTAATACAATCTGAACAGTACAGACTACACTACAGTACCCATCAGCAGCAGTGCTGTATTCAGCCACTGTATTACTAATTCATGAGTAATGGCAATGCACTCCTTCTTTACTCCGTGCTACGGTGTAGTTAGCTGGCTAATGCCGGTTGTGATAGGCCTAGCCTAATGCAAGAGCTAAATATAACATGTTTTTAGCTCCTTGGCCTAATGCACATATGCACATAGCACATATATATGCACAAATCAAGCACAAATGTGTACTGGTTTAGTACTCCCTTCTTTAGTAATACTAATATTTGATAAGCCACCTAAATTAATACAAATTACAATAATATATAATATTAACATGTATGACAACTGGTGTTAATAATGTTGCCTTATACGCAGTGGCTAGAGTACGGTAGCCGATCCGTCGTTGAGCCCCTTTTTTGGGGTTAGGTTTAGGTTAGGGTTATATTAGGGTTAGGCTGTTAGGTTAGGGTTAGGGTTAGGTTAGGTTTAGGGTTATGGTTAGGGTTAGGTTTAGGGTTAGAGTTCTAGCCCATACTCTAAACTTTCAAATCGTGACTTTATTTCCCAAGGCGTTTATTTCGAAATCTGCGCGCCACCGCCGTCATTTTGTCTCGTTAAGCGAATGACTCCCGTACCCAGTACCTCGAGACATTAGATACGGCTACCGTAGCCACTGCCTATATGATAACACATTTAAGTATAAGTCATTAGGTGGCTCTCAAACTATTACTAAAGTCGTAAGAAGGAGTACTACTACTAGCAGGAGTAAGATAATATAGATCCTTATTATCTTACTCCTGGTACTACACTAGTACTACAGTAATAAAACTTTCGTTTTACCCGCGCCATGACAGTGTCGCAAAAAATACCACGTCCGGGCACTATACTTATCATCATAGATATCACTATAACAACATGCTTATTATTATTTGATCAATAAAGATTAAAGCTTTATAATATTTTATTTTAAAATATTAAATAATAATAATAGTAAATACAAACCTGTTGTATTTGTTGTGACAATTATTTTGTTTTAATTTACTTCCAGTATATGCCAGAGATTATTAACGACACGTTTTTGCTGCGAAGGCGCCCCCACTTGAAACAAGTACAGGCGGCTGAAAGTATTTGGCGTTTAATTTTGTCGTTTTCTAATCTTCTACGCCTATGCTATCCTTACTATGAACATATTTTAATCGACGAGTACGCCGTATATCTGTTTCATAATGTATTTGTAGTAAATATAGCGTAACATGGCTATTGGAGTTCATAGAAGTGCAAACGCCACAGGCCCAGTTCAGGCTCAGGTCCCGGCGGCCAAACAGATTGGCACTTCAGATACCCCAGACACCACCCGTTTCGGAGAACAAACGATCAAGTCCGTGAAGTGGTGTTCCAGAGTGCAGCCCTTCTTCCACTGGATCCTTTTTGCACCAATAGCAATGTAAGTTAATGTTGACAGCTATCCCAAACCCTGCTGGGCCAGCAGATTGGTGGCGGCAGGATCCAACCCTGCTGCTGGCCAGTAATATATTATTAAATTAATACTTCGGTTCAAGGATAGATAACATGGGTCCCAATAAAACACAATGTCATTTACATCAATATAAATATTAATATTTATATCAATATAATAGTTAGGGTTAGAATTAGGGTAGAATAAGGGTTAGGTTTAGGCACATCGTGTTTATTGGTACCCATGTCTCAATCCTTGGGCCAAATATTTCTACTTTTATACTGGACAGTCCGTAAGTATGACTCGCTCAAACCACAAGAAATTCACACTTCCATGCCCTAATTTACCTATGATTTATTACATGAACCCAATAAAAAACTAGAAGGAAGCACTCGGGGAGTGCGAATCACCACACACACACATACAAACGAGCCAAAAACAATACCTCCGCTACACTTGTGCGGTGGATAATGATGCAGAAACTAGCATTGTACATCCATCTGCCTCACACTTACTTTGTATCGATACTCTTATTATGTAGTTATAGCTTCGAACATCAACATGGTTTTAGTCATTTCCATCGTCAAGTTGCAAACGTTTACGGCTGATGAAAGCAAACATTAGGCACTTCGCGCTATGACACCTGTTTGGCAGGGTTCGCAGGGTAGCGATAGTACCATCGGTACCGTAGTAGGTCATTTGTAGCATAGTAGGTCATTTTTAGTACGATTAGTACGATGGTACCAATTTTAGCTGCCACTTGTACATTGAATGCATTTAAAGGGAGAGTTTACTCTAGGTTCTAGGTGTTATTTCAGCTAATTTGGTATAATTATGCTACATAAAAATTTCATGGTTCAATCACCATTAGAAATATTAAAAAAAAATGTTTTAAAACTAACGACTACAGTTTGATTACAATGACGGTGGCGCGCCACTCAAAGCGCACGATCTGATAAGTTGCGCAAAACCACTTTCCAGCCAAGGGCTACAGACCGAGGGTTTCTTATTTATTTATTTAAAAGCAAAATGATGTAATATCTATATAAACGACATAATATAAGTTTCAGTTATAATATGGATAAATTTGCCCTAAAATATCGTTACAGTTAAATAGCATTTAGTTTATAAAATTATAATCGCACTTTTGTGATTAGCCCTCGTCGCATAATAAATTGTCAAATACGCCACTTTTTCGGGTGGCAGCACGGTCGCGGTGTCATGTCGCCGTTCAAATTTCGTAGCGTTGATGTGTAATTAATTGTAACAATTAAATTAGGTATCTGGTAACAAATACGTGTGGGTATAGCAGGGTCTCCAACCATTCTGCATTCTGCGGAATTATTACGATTTCTAGGCTTAATTTCCGCACTCCGCAGCGGCAAGGTTTATTCCTCATTTCAGTTGCACTGTATGAAATTTGCACTGATTGTTCGCCATGTCGCTTGACACAATTGTTTTTTTTTACAGCCGTGCCTGGCACTGGCCACGAGTTTATTAATAGCCGTCACTGCGCGAGTCGTTTCTTGGAAATGCACGCTCTGCCATTAGTTTTGCACCCACCCTACCATCGCTCAGTGTTATAATGTGTTTCTATGCATTTTGTATCTGGCATGTACGGTAAATGGAACAGCCTAGTCAGACAGGCGCTGTCTGCAAGGTGTCGCGTAGTTTGTCTGCTAATCAGATTAACACGTGGGGAGAATGGCGTCCAATTGCCATTGCCATCCAAAAAACCCGACTTTTACAGAAATTCAGGAACGAATATACACAGATGTGGCCTGTACTTGTGAAGTCGAAACTCAGTGCTTTAATCATGGCTATTGCATGGTATGCAAGACAGACTTTCAAGTGGGGCACGGAGGAAGGGGTGACTGCCAAAGGCATATATAGTCTCTCAACAGCAGAAGTGCTATGCGGGTGCAGAGGAATCTACACCCAATATATCAAGCTTCTTTGCAGCAGATAGAGAATTGTCTGCCTTCACGCAGAAGTGAGATTTACGAATTATTTAATTGAACACAATGTGCCTTTGAGGGCAGCAGACCATGCAAATGAACTCTTCAAGAAAATGTTTCCAGACTCACAAATAGCCAAAAAGTATGGTTGCAAACATACAAAAACACGTGAAATTGTGAGAAATTGCAATTCTTACCTGTGTTTTAATACATGTATTATTACTATAGTAACCTAATTCTGTGTACGCTCTCTGAAAAGTCATAAAAAGTGTTTTGAATCCTAACTTGTAGGGTTAAGTCTAGGGTTGAGATAGTGTCATCAGACATGAGAATATGGCCCACAGTATGCCTCAGATTGCAGGAAAATGGCTTAAATATTTCAAAATTTTCTGGGGGGGCATGCCCCCACACCCCCCTAGAACTGGCATGCCTACGACACGCAGGGCCTGCCTGCGGCAGCCAAGGTTAATTACACCCCCCCCCCCCGCTGTCCATCAATTTCATTCCGCATTTGGAGTTCACAGGGTTGGAGACCCTGGTATAGACGATTTGTTATACAGTAAGTACAGTTGTATGCAGTAAAATCCTAGCGGCTACTGTCCCTTTAAATTCTTCTCAAGAGAAACGAATGTGTGTAATTTTATTCACTTCTCCAGGGTTCATTTTTGGTGCGCCCTTGCATTAGTAATGCAATATTTATTGTAAAGCCGCGTCTGAATGCTATTTAAAATTATTTCTATCAAGCGCCCATCCGCATTATGCACCAGTCAATCACCCGGCCCCCCAACCCAGGGAAAAAAATACACGGGAGCGACGAGCGATTTCGCTCTGGTAAGCTCTAAAATCGCTCAGGTAAGAACAATAACGGGAGCGTTTGCCCGAGAGAAAATCGCTCCCGTGGCCTGATAATTGAAATGTACACAAGTACGTACGTACAGCGAGTGCTACATATACACCTAGCATCCAGCAGTGGCTTAAGCTGGGTTTACACTGACGATTATATGCAGTCAAGTTGGCGTTTTTCTTCTTTCTACCAACCTCTCTAGATATGTTCAAAGCTCTTAAGTTATAGACCGCGAGGCGGCAAACGTTACAACATTTGACCCGTAGCACACGGGGCGACGCGGATACGCATTTTTGCATGTATATAACAAGCCGCCAGCATGGCGCCTAAACGTGCTCTCCCCCTATGGTGGAGGGACACACCCCTGATTGCTGTTCTCTGATTGGCCACTTGGCAAAAAAACGTCCAACTCGCCTGCTCCGACTTTCCACTTTTCATGCTTATATACCTTCTTTATACTCCCTAATTTGCTGGTGCATTATAATGGTTTTGTCACTTTTGTGAATTTATGTCAGATGGACATGGAACCATTGTGTTGTACTATTATAAAGTATAGAGTATTAAAAATTACAAAGGTTTTGGTTAAAAGTCAGGGCCGTCAAGCTTGCGGGGGGCAAGGGGGCAGCTGCCCCCGCTAGATTTTTGAGCAAAATTAAAAAAAAAAATTACGTGTTCTACTAAATGAGAATTGTCGTAGTCAGAATGAAGGCTGTACAAGTACTCAAAAGTGCCTCAAATACCATCTCATGTGATCTACATTTTCAAAATCTTACCCCAGACCCCCCACCTGTTTCTCAGCCCCTCATTGAAATCATGGAACCGCCACTACCTCCCTTAGGTATTTACCCAGCCTACGGCCCTGAAAGTTATAATTCAGCCTGTCAGTCATCAAGTTTGAAGGAGAAATTAGAAAGTGTCAGCAAAATAATAATGATAATATAAAATACTAAATTTAATAATAATATTAATAATGATGATGATAATACAAGTTATCAGAAGTAGATAATAGGGAAGGAGTGTGACTTCAATAAACAAGGGAAATTCGTCATTTACTAGCCTTAGAATACCTACGATTTAGAAGTAGATAATACTAATAGGGAAGGAGTGTGACTTCAATAAACAAGGGAAATTCGTCATTTACTAGCCTTAGAATACCTACAATTTACTACGCGTAACTCAACCAACTTGAGCTCAAATCGTACACACTGTACATTCGCCTAGCATCGTGCGAAATTGTTTCCTCGTACACCCGCAATCCGGAGATACAGACTAAAACGTATGACACGATTATCTATTCTGTTGCCAGCAAACCGAATGTACAGGGTGACCCAAAAAAAATGCAACCAAAACAAGTGTTAATAACTTTTTTGATATTGATGTTAACCCTTTCATTTTTCAGATTTAACGAGGTGAATAGTTGCCAATTAGATTAGAATCAAGAGTTTTTCAAGATGCCTTGGACTCTTCGACAGAAATCATGGTCCGTGGAAACGTACTTTTCGATGCAGGGCTCGAATTAACCGACGGCACCGACGGCAATTGCCGTACTGCCCCTGAAAATCCAACCCGACCGACGGCAGTCACCTGCCTTGCCCTTTTG